CTTTTCCTTCTCAGTTACATTATTAGTAACATTATTATATTTGTTAGCTTTTTTAATACATTACTTTCTTTCTGTTTTTTGAACCATTTGTGTTTATAGTCCTTCCTATTCTTCAGTCTTATTTACTATATACTATCCTATTTCTTACTTTTTGTTTCTTTAGTTTATACCATTCCTTTTATGATTTTTTGTATCACTTCCTTAAGTTTTTTCCCTTCCCCTATTCCTTATATCTTAATTTAACACTTATTATTTTCTTTTATTCAAATTTTTACTATTTTCAAATTTCAATTTTTTTTCCATTTCCTTTTATTTCTCTTGGTATATCATAAATAACTAATTGTAGCGAAATTTCCCCACTGCTCCTTAAAATATTTCAATATTGATGTCCATTTGCTATTTCCATTTTCAATAGTTTTATCTCTTAAGAATTGTGTAAGTAAATCCATTTCGATTGCATCATAAAGTTTAAGTATCCAATCCTTTAAGCTGGGGGTGTTTTTTTACTTTCCATTTTTGTACTAATGTAATCCTTGCAGTGGTGATTAAATAAAAGAGAAAATTTACCAACTTCCTTGTCTAAATCTTTATCCCACATATTTAACAGATATATCTCCAGGCGTACCTGTATTTTTCTCTATAACATAGAATTAATAATCTCATTTACTTTTATCCAATAATTTTTAACTAATTTACATGTCCATCTGCCAGATATTGACCATAGGGGGAGCTACAAGTTCCCAGTGGAGTGTTCTCTCTAGGAATCTCTAGTTCCTCCAGTGAGACCTTTGGTTAAAGTTGATCATAGAGTTGCGCTGGAGGACCTAGATATTCCTAGAGAGAACATATTCATAAAATACATGAATATTCAAATCCGCAAAAGTCAGAGCCGCAAATGTGGAAGGACAAGTGTTGTTCCTTTATCTCTTTGGTCTGAGGGATCTTTGCCATTTGTCAGCTAATCTATTTGGGGTAATCTTTATAATCTTCTAGCGTCTTAGATGTCTAACTTGTGATGGTGGCTAAAACCAGACCAGCAGAGTTAACAGCAAGCACTCTTTAAGTTTTGGAACTGCAAGATATTTATATAGGATAATAAGATTTAGATAATAATCATGTATGCATATGTGTGTCTACATTCAGCTCTCTGCACCCACAGACTCTTTATCTAGACACAACCATCCATAGCTTGAAAATAAGATATATACATTGCCATTGTAAATTAAGGACACCATCTTACTATACCATTCTATTTAATGGGACTTGAGCATATGGCTTTTGGCCAAGCTGGGAATTGAACCCTGGTTTCCAGAGTCATAGTCCATCGCTCAAACCGCTATGCCATGCTGCCCCTAACCCCAGAAAATCTGAAGGGCCCACTGTACTTTCCTATCAAGCTTAGTGAGATGGGTGATTCTACATTGTAGAAATAATGCAGTTTGACACCACTTTCAAATGCTGTAGCATAGTGGTTTGAGTATTGAACTATAACTCTGGAGACCAGGGTTTAATTCCCCCCTTGGCCATGAAACCCACTGGGTGACCTTAGGCAAGTCACACACTCTCAGCTTCAGGGAAAGGCCATAGCCGCTTGGATTGTTTGCCAATAAGCAGGATATAAATAAATTTTATTATTATTATTATTATTATTATTATTATTATTATTATTATTATTATTATAGCAAACCTCCTCTGAATAAATATCGCCATGAAAACTCCATGATAGGCTTGCTTTAGGGTTGTCGTACGTTGGAAACGACTGGAAGACACACAACAACAACAACAACAATGTGTTATGGAGCCAACACAATAACTATTAACAAAATAAACAATAATGTTTTATATTACTGTGTCTAGTGTGGTTCAGTGGTTTTGGCTTTGGACTATAATTCTGGGAAACCAGGGTTTGGTT